CTTTCGCCAGGAGGAGACCATTAGCATCATCCGGCTCATCGAACAGGTGGGAGCTTCCGCAGGCGAAGAAGAGGGCAGGGCCCGCCTAGGGTGGGAGTAGTGGCACCGGACCTGTTTGGACCCAGGGACCTTGTGCCCCAGCCTTCCGAGCGGGGCCTTTTCAGGCAGTTACATTAGCCTCTGCTCCCCTCATAGGAGCATCCTGGGCGTCTGGCTCTTGGCTGAAGTGTATCAGTTGTTGGGCCTGGGAGAGGCCAGGCAGACCCAGGCCATAATGTGTCCCTCTCGGTCCATAGGCTCGGCACGCCACCTATGGCATCCGTAAGTGCTTCCTCTTCCTGCTGCAGTGCCAGCTGACTCTCGTGGTTATCCAGGTGAGGTGGGGCCCACACAGGCATCACCCCTGTGCCACTTATCACTTCACTCGTGCAGCTGAGAATCTGAGGAGGGAGGCTGGGGGTAACAGCACAGTCCAGGGGTCCCCTAGAGCCACTGTGAAGCTCCTGGGCTTTCCAAGATGACCTCATTGGCAGAAGAGTATTCCCTCTGGCCCCAGTTCCCTCTGGCAGGATGTGAGCATCTATCTGGGCCCAGGGCAAGGCAGCTCGGGGGCTCCTATGTCCTTATTTTGTGTCTGAATCGAACTGTGGCTCTTGGCTTCTTTCCTACTCTAGTTCCTTTCCTGCTTGGTCCAGCTGCCACCACTCCTGAGTACCACCGACATCCTGTGGCTGTCCTGCTTTTGCTACCCTCTTCTCAGGTGAGAGGCCATGCAGCTCCCCTCCCCCCACACCTAAGCAGGAGGAGTCTGGATGTCACTGTACAGCCCTAGGAGCCCAGGGTTCTGGAACTGCTCAGGGCTCATCTCCTCTGGTACAGGAGGCACGGAGGGAACCTCCTTTGCCTTTTTTTTTTTTTTTTTTTTTTTTTTTTGAGACAAGAGTCTCGCTCTGTGGCCCAGGCTGGAGTGCAGTGGCGTGATGTCGGCGCACTGCAACCTCTGCCTCCCAGGTTCAAGCAGTTCTCCTGTCTCAGCCTCCTAAGTAGCTGGGATTACAGGCACCCGCCACCACACCCAGCTAACCGGGGTATTTCACTGTGTTGGCCAGGCTGGTCTCGAACTCCTGACCTCATGATCTACCTGCCTTGGCCTCCCAAAGTGGAGGGATTATAAGTGTCAGCCACCACATCCAGCCTTTTTTTTGAGACAGAGTCTTACTCTGTCGCCCGGGCTGGAGTGCGATGGCACAATCTCTGCTCACTGCAACCTCTGCCTCCTAGGCTCAGGTCATTCTCCTGCCTCAGCCTCCTGAGTAGCTGGGATTACAGGTGCTCACATGCCCTGCTAATTTTTGTATTTTTAGTAGAGATGGGGTTTTGCCATGTTGGCCAGGCTGGTTTCAAACTCCTGACCTCAAATAATCTACCCGTCTTGGCCTCCCAAAGTGCTGGGATTACAGGTATGAGCACTGCGCCAGTGTTTGTCTTATTCCATCCCCTCACCAGACTTGACCTCATGCTCAAGACTCCCTAGAAGCTCCCTCTGTGAGAACTGGGGGATAGAGGATCACTGTCACCATCCCTGTACATTATCTCTGCTTTTTAGCATCTCACTGCTGGGAAAGCCCCCCCATAGTTCCATCATGTCTATGGCAACAGGGAAAAACCTTCAGTCCATTCCTAAGAAGGTAAGCGAAGCAGACCCTGTGAGCGTTGCAGGTGAGCATGGAAGGGACTGAGGGGTGCGGGAGGAGAGAGGGCCTAATGTGGAAGGCTCTGGATGGGGACTTCAGCAGAACTGGAAAGCCAGCACTCTGTTCCTAGTCATCCCCCAGATCAAAGAGGAGGTGGCGGCACAGAGCTGGGAAAGATCCTTGGTGGGGCGTGAGCTCTCTATCCCCCCAGGCCCTACCATTTACTAAGAGCCTATTGAATATGTGGAAGAGCCAGGAGCGGCTGGCAAAGGGGCTGTGTGCCTCAGGAGTGCCCTGGCCTTGTTCCCCGGCAGACTCAGCACTACTTCCTGCTCTGCTTCCTACTCAAGTTCAGCCTCACCATCAGCTCGTGCCTCATCTGTTTTGGCTTCACGCTGCAGAGCTTCTGTGACAGCTCCCGGGCCCACAACCTCACCAACTGCTCATCCATCATGCTGCCCAGGTGGGTCCCAGCCCTGAGAGCCATCATCGTCTGCCTCACCTCGAGGCTTCCTCCCTCCCCACCCCAGTCTACCTCCCTGCAGCCTCAGAGGGGCTGAGCCCATGCCTCGCTTTGGCAGCAACAACGACAGGGCTCCATCCTGGTTTGAGGACTTTGCCAACGGACTGCTGTCGGCTCAGAAGCTCACGGCCGCCCTGATTGTCCTGCATACTGGTGAGGGAGCTCTTTGGGAGGGTGCAGATGATGGTGGGGAGGGGCCCCACTGTGGAAGTCTGACTCCCACATTGCCCTACTTTCCCCAGTCTTCATTTCTATCACCCATGTGCATCGCACCAAGCCCCTGTGGAGAAAGAGCCCCTTGACCAATCTCTGGTGGGCCGTGACAGTGCCTGTGGTGTGAGTATTGCTAGGATGGAGGGGTGGAGTGGGGCTGGGGAGGAGAGGGGCTCTGCCGGGCAAGGACTGGAGGGCGGGACCGGGCCCAGGGGTTTAACCATGCCCTGCTTGAGCTAATTGTACTGGGAAGAGCAGGGAAGAAAGAAGGCAGTGTCAGGGTTCACATGGGGCCTCCACCTCCTGCAGGCTGCTGGGTCAGGTGGTCCAGACAGCTGTGGACCTGCAGCTGTGGACACACAGGGACAGCCATGTCCACTTTGGCCTGGAGGACGTGCCCCTGCTGACGTGGCTCCTGGGCTGCCTGTCCCTGGTCCTTGTGGTGGTCACCAATGAGGTCGTGAAGCTACATGAGATTCGGTGAGCTGCCAGCAGGGCGCCTCCCTCTGGGCTCAACCATGTTCCATAAACCCATCACTCCTTTGGCGACATTCCCCCACCTTTCCGTTGCCTGTCCCTCCCTCCTCCTCTGCTGTCCTGCCCGGGCCCCTGGTCTAAGGATCTTTGCCAACCTGTACTTTAATCTCCTGCCCCGCCAGGGTCCGAGTCCGCTACCAGAAGCGACAGAAGCTGCAGTTTGAAACTAAGCTGGGCATGAACTCTCCCTTCTGAGCCACTGGCTGTGGTGGCCACAGTTGCTTCCATCCCTGGGGCTAAAGCCAGACCCATTTCTGAACAGGGGAGTTGGTATCATGAATGTTTCCGGGTTTGCTCCTGCACCCGTGGCACTGGAAGCCCAGCTCCCCGCATCAGACCCCGCTGTCTTCCTGAGCCCTGGGGCTTACTGTGGAGGAGCTGATGGGCGGGCCCTCAGCCAGTCCTGGCTCTTCCCTGGGCCTCACCAGAGGCTCTCTTGAATGTATGGCCTCAGGTGCTCCCTCAAGGGGCCCTCACCTGTGGGCTGTCCCCTTGGGGACCCCTTGCCCCCCAGTGCCTCTGCTTGTGGGTCCCTGGACATGGCCTTGAAGCGAACCTTCTTTGGAGGAGCAACAGCAGCAGCAGCCTTGGCGGGCGAGTCCAAGTCCCAAGGCTGCTGTGGAGGGCAGGGTGGTGCTGCATGCTCCCCATCCCATCCTCCTGGGGCAGGGGCTTGGATGTGGCCCCGAGTGCCTCCCCTCCCTCCCTCTGTGGGGGAGTCTCCCACCTGATGAAGATGGAGCAGGGCCCCCGCTTCGCCCTGGAGCCTCTTCCTGTGCCTGGCTCAAGCTGCCTGCCTATGTCTTGGGGAATCTGGCCTAGGTCTCCTCAGCCTCTGCCCCAGTTCTGGGAGAAGTTTCTACTGGTGTATATTTTTTAATGGAAATGAGCCTTTTAGGAATGAATGTAGACTGGTTTGTATTAAAATGTGTCAATTGCTTAAGAAACACCTGTGGCTGGTCCGTAAGGCCACTCCAGGGTCTGCCCACCCACGGCGGTGGCTAGCAAAGGGAGGCCTAAGCCTTCCTCCATCTACACTGGCAGGTCTCTCAGGTCTGGCTCAGGTGAGACCCGTGGGGTCAGGGTTCCCCGTGTCACAGAGGCAAACACACAGCCCGGTCACATGGAATGGTGTTTTCATTGGTGTTAGTTGGGGCAAGAGGTTAATGGTTACAGAGCCAGGGCCTGGGCCAACAGGGTCAGGCTCCTGGCCCTCAGGTGGGCATCGGGGGCTCCTGCTGTGGTCTGAGGCCCCTCTCCCATTTCGTCCTCTCAGGCAGTTAATAGAATAAATTCCATTTAAAATATATGCATTTCTCTCTGCTTAAAAAATAACATTTACAATTGAAAAGTTGGATTTGTGGGATCTATTAACCCCACTGCCTCCCACCCCTGCCAGCTCTGCCACAGCGAGGGAAAGCGGGGCAGGAGCTGTGTATTTACATGTCCTCTGTACACCTACAGAGGGGGGGCCCGGCCAGACACATGCCTCCTTTGGCCTCTGAGGGCCTGGGCAGCACGGTGGGTGGCAAGAGGCTTCCCTTGGCACAGTGACTTAGGACACAGGCTGGGGGTTATAGAGAAATAACCCCTAAAGCCCTACCAACCCCCCTTCCTCCCTGAGGAGAGCGCTCTTACCAAGGTCCCTGTCCAGGAGCAGGACTCTTGAATGTATGGCCTCACCCTGGTCAGATCACCCTGGGAGGGGCTTTGCTGAGATGCAGTGGAGGCCCCTCGCTAGTCAGGTTCTGATAAGGTGGGCTGTCCCACAAGAGCTGCGACGCCCATGGCTGCTGGCTTACAGTGGGAAGGGGCTCTGCTAGGAGGGGCGCTTTAGCCTGACCAGCCCTTGGCCCATCCCTAGGGTGGCAGGGCCTCTTTTTTTTTTTTTTTTTTTTTTTTTTTGAGACAGGGTTTCACCATGCTGGCTGGGCTAGTCTCGAACTCCTGACCTCGGGTGATCCGCCTGCCTCAGCCTCCCAAAGTGCTGGGATTACAGGTGTGAGCCACCACGCCCGGCCTTTATTTATTTATTTTTTTTAGAGGACAGGGGTTTCTTCTGTGCTGGGGCAAAGGCAGTGGACGTCGGCAGGTCATAGTGGGCAAAGGGCTCAGTCCAGCATGGCGTCCAGCTGGTCAGCCAGGGCGTCGAACATGGTGCTGATGTCATCCAGAATGTGCTTGGTGGAGGCGCTGGGGGCGCTGCAGCAAGGGGAAGGACGCAGTCAGGTCAGCCAGTGGCCTGCATCCCAATGGCCCTGGGGCAGGGGGCTGTCTGTCATAGCTCCTGGAGGCTCAGGGAGGCAAGGGACAGCCCAGGCTCGTATGCCTCTTAAATGGCAGCCACTAGGATTCCCTGAAGGTCAGATCTGGGTGACTCCAACACCTGGCCTCTTATCCCATTAGTGCCTGCAATGTCACCCTCCAACATCCCCAGGAGCTCCAGGCAGAGGGCACAGGGACCACTATTTCTCCGAAGCCTTCTCTCCCTCCCCTGCCAGCCCCCCTCACCCCTCTTGCTCCTCCGTGCCAATGCTCTTCTCCGCAGCTCTCAGTGCAGCTGCCAGGGACGAGCTGGTCTGCTCCAGTCTCTGCTGGGCCTGGCCTGGGCCCACAGTCCCAGTGCTCTCAGGCCGTGGAGGAGGCACTGGACGGGGGCCGAGCCGGGGCGCTAGCTTTGGGCCAGAAAATGCCAGCTGGGTGCAGGCCACCGATACAGGCTTGGGGGCTGTTCCTGCAGAGACAAAAAGGTTGGCCTGGGACTTGGCTGGGCCGGACGTAACCCTGCCAGCAATGCTTCTCCGCAGGCCTCGTCTCTTACCTGCTCCAGGCACCTTGAGGAGGGCAGCAGGGGCGGCTGGGGGTTCTGTCTCCCCACTCCGCTGACTAGCTGCTGAGCTCTCCAGACCCGGCCCTGGGCAGGGCAGCACCGAGGGCTGTGTGGCGGGGCTGGGAGCAAGGGGGGCTGGGGCTCCTTGGGGTGGAAGGCTGCTGGGCTCAGGCTGAGGAGGGCTAGGAGAAGCTGAAGGAGACTCGCCAGGAGCTGAGGAGGGCAGGGGGGCAGCAGGGCCAGGCGTGACGCTGGCCACTCCGAAGGCCAGCAGGGCGGTCTGCAGCGGCTCTCTCTCCCGGCACTTGGGCCTCCGCTTAACAGTGTCTGATTCTGTGAGGTTGAAATCGAGGCCCGGGGGCACGGATGTCTCTCGGGGTGGGGGGCCAGCGGGCTTCGGCCGCTGTTTGATGGTCAGGTTCCCTTCCTCTGCAAACGGCAGCCCTTCCCCAGAGCTGCCCCGAGATGGGGGCGTCCCCTCGGGGCCTGGCTCCTCCTCCTCTGTGTCCGACGACGGCCCTGACGGGGCAGGTGGGCCAGGGGGCTCTGAGGGGCCAGCGGGTTCACTCAGTGTTCGCCTTCGGGGCCCTGAGGCCCCCTCCTTGTGCCCTGGGCTCCCGTCTAGGGGAGGTGCCTCTGGGGTAGGGCCAGAGACAGAGCTGAGGCGCTTGGGGGGTGGGGGTGGGGGGCCTTTGCGCCGGGCCCGCAGGGCGAAGGACTGGCTGCGAGGAGTCCCCCGAGCTGGGGTTGGGGTGGCGCTAGGACTGGTCCGGGCAAGGGCGCTGCGTCCTGGCCGCCGGGTAAGGGTGGCATAACTGCCCAGGGCACTGCCCACTGGCCCTTCGGCCTCCCCTTCAGTGTCCCCCTCCACGGGGCCAGGGCGGCTCAGGCTGTGGGACCGGCGCTTAGGTCGAGGTGGGTCTGGGGGAGTAGCAGGGGGTCCAGCCAAGTAGGAGAAGGCCCAGGGTGCGCCAGGAGGTGGCCCTGGGGCCGGGCTGGAGGGGGAGCCCTGGGGGCTCATAAAAACATAGGGTGGGGGTCCTTGGCCAGGAAGTAGGGTACAAAGCTTAGGGGGCCGCTCTGTGCCCTCTGGAAGGTTCCTCTCCTGGAGGGTGCTAGGATCTCCACCTCCGGGCTGTAGGGCAGGCTGTTCCTGTGAGTGGCCGGACCCCCGTGAGCGTGCCCCGATGCTCTCCTGGCTGGGAGAGCGGGCAGGTGGGAGGGGGAGTGGCTCAGGGCCACCCCCTGCCATGGCTGCCTGTAGCTCTTGGCTCAGCTCGCTGCCCTGGAAGGTGAGGAGCCGCGGGCTGGCGGTAGCTGGGACTTCCCCGTTCTCTAGGCCCTCGATGGCCATCAGCTCCGGACCCTTGGCCAGCCGGCGCCCGCCTTCACTGAGGGCCTCTCCCTGCAGCAAGCCCCGCCGAAGCTCTGCCAGCCGCTTCACCCCCAGCATAAGCTTCTTCTGATGCCCTGAGATGGAAACAGAAGTGGCAAAGTTAGCTGGGGCTGGGGTTGTCCTGGCCATGACTGGGCCCCATTCTCTCTTCTCTTGGAGACCCCAAAGGTGGGTGGGGCCAGGCCTCAGGGCAGTCCTCACCGAGCTTGTTGACCCCGATCTCCTGCAGCTCCTCCCAGGTGAGGTCGGTCACCAGCCCCATGGAATCGTAGCCGCTGCTCACCAGCTGCTTGTGGTACTGCGGCAGCCCCAGTGCACACAGCCACTCCAGCAGGTCCGTCTGGAAGAGCATCGTCCTCAAAACAGCTCCCGGCCAGCCTCCGCCCCCAGCCAGAGAGGAAAAGGCACCAGCACGTGCCCTACTCCCCAGCCACCCTGATGGGCGACAGCACGTGCCCCACTCCCCAACCACCCTGATGGCTCACCGGGATGTAGGTAGGCAGCCACTCAGCAATGCTGAGCTGAGCAATCTCTGAGGCAATCTTCTTTCTGTGGCCAGGCTTGGTCACCCCGATGGCCGTCAGATCCTGCCGCACAGAGTCTGGCCATCAGGCCCTTCCCCTGCCTGCTGGGCCCTCCCCGGCCCACTGGGCACTGCTCCTGGGCTGCAGCACCCACCTCAGGCGTCATGCGGCTGATGGTAGGCACGTCATAGCCAGCCTGAAGAAAGTGGGCAGTGTAGCCCTCCAGCTGGAACTCACTCAGCCAGTTATAAATAGCCTGTGCATCCTGTGGGGTGGGGGAAGGGGGCAGAATTAGCAGGAACTGGGCCAAGCCTCCAGCCTCCCCCCAGGGGCCTGCCTGAGCAGGACTTCAGTCCATACAGAGGCCCTTGCATCTCCCTGCCCTACCCACCCCAGCCCCAAGGCCCACAGTGCACCCCAGGGGAGTTCACACCTTCCCCTCCAGCAGCTGTTCGGGCCGCACGTCCTGGGTGAAGATCTGCTCCCCAGAGCGGCAGTTGGCCAGAGGGCGGTGGCTCAGGTTGTCTTCAAGGAGGGAGAGACATGGAATGGAGAGGTGGCAGGAGGAAGGGGTGCCCACCCTTGGCCTCCTTACCTGCACCTCTCCTAGCCAACCCAGCTCCCCTGACCCTTCCTACCTGCCAGGGATGGTGGGTGGAGTCCTGGCAGCACCTGGTCCTCTCCGGCTGAGGGCAGTGGCTGGAGACAGGGCATGAGCTAACTTAGCATTTGAGGAACTGGCAGTGGGGGGTGAGCCCTGCCCTGGTTCCTGACCTCACCATCCTACCTGGGCATTCTCAATCAGGAGGCCAGGGCCGTGGCCGTTAGTGCCCTCGGAGCTCTGCCCGCTGCCAGCGCTGCGGATACTGCCCACACTGCCCTCACTGCCCACGCTATTCCTGTCACCTGCTGTGGAGGGGAGAAGCCAAGGGTCAGAGCCCCAGGGGACACTGCCAACAGCTGACTGGCAGCTTGCCCAGGCCACACACCCACACAGTGCCCAGCACTGCCCCCTGGGAGGATGTACCTGGGCTGTCTGGGCTGAGGCCCACCCGAGGAAGCTGGCCGTAGGTAAGAGGGTGCAGGGGGTCATCGGCAGGAGGCTGCGGTGTCCGGGAGAAGCCTGGGCGCAGGGGGGTGGGTGCGGAGGGGAGGCGGGCTGCAGGGACACCCACCCGCTTGCTGACCACCTCAACGATGCCCGGGGGGAAGTAGCCTATGCGGTCTGTGCCCCTTTGGCTCTCATGGATGTGGCCCTTCCAGCGGCCGTCGGGATGCTGTTCTAGCACCTGCGTCCAGGGGTGGGGGGCAGGGACCTGGTCACTCCCAGCACCAGGCAAGTGGCAAACAGCTGTTCCTGCAGCTGCAGTCCAGCAACCCTGGTCCAGCTCTTCCCCTGCCCCCAAGGAGCTGGCCTCTGATGCCCACACTGGCCCAAATTCCGCCCCTGCTGCCAGCAGCCAGCCCAATCTCCCCTGTGCCTCCAGGATGAGCCCTGGTGGCGGCCTGTGGTCAAATCACAGCTCCACTACTTGCTAGCTGTGTGACCTTGGGCAAGTCACTTTAATTTCTCTTAATTTTATTTTGTTTAATTCTCAAGTTTGTCATTCCTAAAGAAGAAACGCTAATCGCACTGCCTTCCTTGGCTTTGGGAAGAGTTAAATGAGGGTGAATATAGAAACCTCAGAGCAGAACCTGGTAACATAGCCAGGTGCCCAAATCAGTAACCAAAATCATTTGTATGTGCCAAGGAATGTCTGCCTGGCCCCTCACCGTGATGACATCCCCTGCCCGGACATTGAGAGCAGTGGGATCGTGGAGGTTCCAGAAATCCTTGAGCGCTCGGACCTTCAGGATCCCTGAGGCCTCTAAGAGAACGGGGTGGGGGAAAGGTGTCATCTAAGGGTCCTTAGGGCATCTTCCCAACCCGTATCCCCTTGACAACCCTCCCCCAGGGACAACCACTCCCCCTCCACCAGGCCCCCTGGGCAAGGTCTCCTCCCTGCACTTACCCCGCAGTAGTTGCTTGATTTCCCGGCTGGCCTGGGAGGTGGTGAACTGATTCACTATGTCCAGCGCCGTCTGGTTATATGTATTCCGGATGTTCACGTCCACACCTCCCTGGGCGCAAAGTGACGCATGAGCACACGCTAGGCACCTCTCCTCCCACTTCTCTCAGCTACCCAGGATGTAGGTACTATTATCATTTTCAGATTTTACAGACGAGGAAATAGAAGCTCAGGGACTCAATCAAGGACAAGCTCAAGTTCACTCAGCTAGTAGGCGGCAGAGCGAATTGGGCTGTTCTGCTCCCAATCCATCTCTACTGCCTCAGCACCGTTCAGAAGGAAGTCAGGCCTCTTCCCTGACGTCCATGCAAAAGCCATGCTGGAGTCCTCCCTCCCGAACCTCCCCAGCCAGTCAGGGCCCAGGGCAGAGGCTCCAGGGACACCTGCGAGGGAGCAGGGGCCCACACCCACCTCCAGGAGCAGCCGCACCACCTCGGTCTTGCCGTACAGTGCGGCCTCGTGGAGCGCCGTGCCAGTCTTGGTCTGGCGGTTGATCTCGATCCCGGCTCTCAGGAGCTGCCTGCAATGGACGGGGGGAGTCATGGGGAGGTGGGGCAGGAGGGGACGCTGACTGCTGGGGGCTGGGAGATGGAGAGCCCAGGTAAAGAGGGCAGTGGGGGAAGGCACTGAGGGGCACCGATGGTCCCACAGGAAGGTGATGAAAAAGTGGGGGTACCCCAAGGGTACCTGATGACTTCTCTGTGGCCATTCTTGGCAGCCAAATGCAGGGGTGTAGTGTAGTTGGGGTCACACGGGTCCTTGGCCTCGCCCTCCAGTAGTGCCACACATAAGTGGCTGTTCAGTAGCAGCTGGGCCACCTACAACAACCCAGCACCCAGTTAGAGCCTCCTCCTCAGACCTTGTACACGTCTAGGACCCAGCACCCCAAGGCTGCGGGCCTCACCTTGAGTCGGCCAAATTCACAGGCCAGATCCAGGGGTGTCTTCTTGGCCTTGTTGACCAGGCACGGGTTGGACTGATGCTGGAGGAGCATTTCTGACTAGGGTCAAGGGGAGCCAAGTGAGGGGGCCTGGCTTGTCCAGCACCCCGCTGCGCCCTGTGCCAAGTCCCTGTGGGCAGCCTCACATACCACCTCATAGTGTCCATACTGCGCGGCCAGGTGCAGGGGGATCTGCCCGTCCAGCGAGGCGGCATTGACGGCCGCGGAGGCACGCAGCAGCAGCCTCACAGGCTCCAGCCGGCCCTGCCAAGCTGCATAGTGTAGTGGGCGCATGCCTGGCAGGAGGGAAGAGGTTCTGAGGAACGTCCTGGGGTGGCATTGGGGGTGGAGAGGGACTGAGCAGAGGATGGAGCCAGGCCAGCTGAGGGGACCAGGGGATGCAATGCCAGCTCCACCTGCATGTGGTCAGGAAGAGGTCCAGCTTGACGGGGCTGAAGCCAGAGTCCTGCCGTGCCCACCTCGGATGATGATGACCCCAGGACAGCGACAAGACCTCGCTGAGCCTCAACCTACTCATCTGAATAATGGGATGTTAGTACCACCCTCTATGCAAGAAAACTGTAAAGATTAAACAGGGAAAAGCCACTTGCAAGCCTGGAGAAGCTGTGCTAACATCTATTAGCACTGCTACGTTGTAACAGGAGCAAGCTCTGGTCCAGGGTCTGGGTAGGGCCCCTACCTGCCCGGGGTGGGGGTCAGGGGCACATGGGGGTCTCACCATTGCTGTCCTTGATGTCAACGGTGGCCTGAGCCTCTAGCAGCAAGGCTATGAGCTCCAGGCTGCCCCCCAAAGCGGCGTGATGGAGGGCAGAGAATCTGGTGTGGGGGGACACAAAGTTGGGGGTGTTGGTGGGCAGCCTTTACCCCCAAATCCTGGTCTTCCATACCCAAACCTCTCCTGGGGGCTGGCAGGGATGGGTTACTGGCCACCCCACCCTGCCAGCCCTGCCGTGGGAGCGCAGTGGCTGGGCCACAGCATGAAAGGGCTCTGTGTCTGCACTGAGAGGCCTGTTTGTCTGGCCCCCAATTCCCAGCTGGCCCAGGGGAGGGGGCCGTGGGAGCAGGAGCCTGAGGGCTCCTACCCTCCAGGGAGAAAAGGGAGCCCCAAAGGAATCTGACCCCAGGAGGCCCCTCACTCTGGGCTAACTCCACAGGCGGGCGGGTGCCCCCTCCCTCTGGCCCTAGGGACAGGACCCACAATTCGAAGCAAATACACGTCCAGGGCCAAAGGGACCCTGGGCCTCAGGATCTTTCCTTCTAGCCCCACCCCTGGGGCTCTACTGCTCCCACCCAGCAGCTCTGCAGAGGGAAGGGGGCTCCCACTCACCCATCAGCATCCTGGTAGTTCACGTTGAGCCTCTTTGTGGAGCCCAGGAGCTCTGGGGGGGGTCAGGAGAGGAGGTGTCAGGGCCATGAGATAATCTGCCCTCACCCAGCATCCCTCTCCCCACCAGTCACAGCCCAGCTGACCTCTTGGTGTGCAGGAAAGTACCTGCCCCATGGCCTTTTGCCTGTCCCGTCCCTGTGGCTCCCACCCTGGCCCACCAGCCTGTCAGTGTGACGGCAGCCAGGGCAGGATGCTGCTTTGGCGGTGCCTGGCTTCCCCTCGCCCCAGCCCCACTTGTTTATAGAGCCAAAGGGGGCAGGGGGTGGGACTGGCACAATGTGCCCTCAGCGGACAGGCCCACGGTGTGGATGGTTAGCATTCCTGCCTGAATGGGCCAGGCAGTGAGTCACGTTGTCCTATTGGGCCGAGGGGTGGGGGAAGAGAAGGAAAGAGGCACTAGGTGTTCAAGGGCAGGACAAATGCTGCCTGAAGCACCACTATCCCCAGTCCTGGGCATTCCAGGGGAAGGTGACATCAGTCAGGCCTCTACCCCACCCCGGCTCTGCCAGGGGCTAGCTGTGTGACCATGACAAGTCATTTAACCTCCCAGGCTCAGTGTCCTCAACTGTAAAACGAGCTGATCAGAACCTGCTCACAGGGGCTGTGAGTACAGTGCCTGACCTTGTCATATGCAAAGAGAGGCGCTCTTGCCATCTAGCCCTCCTGATGTGTTGGTCAGTACCATCCCGATGTTAGGGTGATGGTCCTCCAACAAGAGCTGGCACAGGAGCCACACTGTTCCCACTGGGATCCCAGTGGGTTCTCAGACTGCCTGGGGAGTCCCTGCTACTGCTGACATGTCCGTGGCCTGGACAAGAACTCTGCAGGTTGGTGGTAAGAGGTACTGGGGCCAACCCCTCGGGGCAGGGTTCAGGCAGGTGTGCTCCCCGAGTGATCCAGGGAACTGGTGGGAGTGGTTCTTGAAGTGCCGGGGAGGGAAGGAAGGCCTGTCCCGGGCCGCCCCTGCCTCCTGCTAGACCCCTGCAGGGAAGGAGTGAGCCTGGCTCAACGAGGCTGGGCGGAGTGCCAAGCGTGCTGGCCCAGGCCTGCCCCCCAGGCTCTGGTGGGCCCCTCAATACCCCAGTAGCCTGGGCAGGACAGGGCTTCATTCCAACAGGGAGGGGAGGGACCAACCTTGCAGTGGGGAGCATGGCACAGGGAGGGAGGGGACAGCTACACTGAGGGCCAAGCTGAAGGACACTGTGCCACAAAGGTAAGGACAGGGCCAAGGAGGGACAAAAAGCTAAAGGGGCTGCAGCCACTGGGAAGAAACATAGACTCCATTTTTCTTCAGTCCCCTTGGAAAGAACCATTTCCCTTTTTCATTCAGAACTATTCGAGGCAGTAGAAAGAAGAGGGACTCTAGAAGCGGAAGTGCACAGTTCAAATGCTCACTCTGGCTGTGTGACCTTGGCCTGCCACCGCACCTCTCTGAGTCCCAGTGAATACGAGGTCAGCAGGGAAGAGACACAGAGCGCCCTTCAAGCTGCCTCCTCTTCCATCAGCCCTCCTCCTCCAACAGCCTGGACAGTTTGGGATGAGGCAGCTGGGTGGTGGGATGCAGTTCCTCCAGGGAGGGGCAGGACAATGTGACAGGCGGGACAGGAACAGGGCAAGGGCCAGGCTGGGTGGCTCCGTTCTTTCCAGAACAATGGCCGGAAAGGCAGTGGGGGAGAGGCTCAGAATGACCGGGCTGGGGACCTTGGCGGGAGGACAGAGGGTCCCGGTTCCAGGCACTTCCTCTGCGGTACAGCCTACTTCCCGGGCCTGGCGCTGGGGGTGGAAGGGTGGCTCCTGATTTAGGCTCCCGGGCAGAGGATGTGAGCTCAGCCGGCTGCCCCAGCACACCCCATTTCCTCTGGCCAAAGAAGGAGATTGTTAGGAAAAGGGAGTGGTGTGGAGGGGCAGGGTCAGGACAACTGTATTCCTCTTCTCTCAGCCACCTGCTCCCTGAAGGGGACCTGGGTGGGGGCAGAGAATCAGCCAGATATCAAAGGGAGGAGGCTGAGGGAGCATCTCCCGCCTCTCTGTTCTCTCTCTGGATAGCTATAAAGCTCCAGCTACCCCTCAGAAGGAAAAAGGGGAGTCCTGACACCTCCCTTGTAGCAGTTTCCTCTGCTTTCTTGTGATACGGAGCAAGAGTCCCCAGTCCCACTCCTGAGAACTGCATTAGAATTACCAGGAGAACGTCCTGATTCAGAGTCCCAGGCCCTCTGATGAGTCTGATTTTCAGGGGAATCCAAGGAGTCTGCACTTTTATTTGTTAAATTTTTTGAGACAGGGTCTTGTTCTGTTGCCCTGGCTGGAGTGTAATGGTACAATCTCGGCTCACTGCAGCCTTGACCTCCCAGGCTCAAGCAATCCTCCCACCTCAGCCTCCTGAGTAGCTGGGACTACAGGAATGTGCCACCATGCCCAGATAACTTCATAATTTTTTGTAGAGACAGCATCTTACTATGTTGCCTAGGCCAGTCTCAAACTCCTAGGCCAAAGTTATCCTCCCGTCTCAGCCTCCTGAGTAGTTGGGACTATAGGTGTGTGCCATCATGGCTGCCCCAGTCTGTACTTCCATTATTATTTTTTTTTTTTGAGACAGTTTTGCTCTTGTTGCTCAGGCTGGAGTGCAATAGCACGATCTCAGCTCACCCCAACCTCCGCCTCCTGGGTTCAAGCGATTCTCTTGCCTCAGCCTCCCAAGTAGCTGGGATTACAGGCAGGCACCACCACACCTGGCTAATTTTGTAATTTTAGTAGAGACGGAGTTTCTCCATGTTGGTCTGGCTGGTCTCAAACTCCTGACCTCAGGTGATCCGCCTGCCTTGACTTCCCAAAGTGAGACCCCCATCTCTGAAAAGAACAGGGAATTCTGATGGGCAGCTGAGTGCAGAGCACAGGGGACAGGGTGCAGCTTTGCCTCTGCTCTCCCATGCTATGGCTGTGTGACTTTAGGCAAGTCACTAACCCTCTCTGAGCATCACTTTCCTTATCTGCAGAATGAATATTGAAATACCTATCTCAGAGGCAGATAAGGAAATTACAATATTTCATAAACTATAAGGTTTGCAAATGTCATCTTGTGATCTCACTTTTGTCACCAGCTTCTCAGAGGACTTGGGAGGAGGCACAGTGCCAGGGCCTCACAAGGAATCCCAGGCCCCAGTCATGCTGTGCCTGTGCCTATACCCTGCACAGGGTGAATTCTCCCCTATGGAACCAAAGGAAGACCTCTTTCCCCACAGACATTTCCCACTGGGCACAAGGGACCTTCTCAGAGCCTAAAAGCCTGGATCTGCAGTTCCAGCCGCTGGTCTCCAGACCCCACCTGCGGGCCTCACTTTGAGGCCCCAGAGCTTCGAGGCCAGCAGCAGCTTGATCAAGGCCCCACTGGGCAGGTTGCCAAAAACAACACAAAGGTGACAGATGAAGGGAGTGGCTGCACTGTTGAACCTTAGGGCTCTCCCCTGGGACCTCCTTAGCACCTCCCCTGTGGCACTCACCCTGTGTCCACTTCCCTAGGCACAGAGACCACCCCACATCGCCACCTCTCCGGACCCTGGGTCTCCCACCCTGCCCTGATGTGCCAGTGGATGCATGAGGTTAAAGCTCTTCCTCTGGTACCCAGACCCCAGGTGTTCAGGTAGCCTGGGGGACTCCTTCCAGTGCACATGGCCAAGGTGTGTCTTGGGGCTACAGCCCCTGCACTCCAGAGGAGACCTTCCCATCCAGGAAACTACTCCTGCCTCAGTCTGGTGGCAGGACCCACCTCTTGCCCATGCTGATCTAGGATCTCAAGGTGACAAGTCCAGTGGCCTCCTGGGACAGCCCAGAGAGCGTTCCCTGAAGCCCAGGGGTCTATTCTCCCTATAAGGCAGTCTCACTACAGAGGGACCCAAGACATGGGGCTCAGGTGTGGCCACTACTGCATCGAGCTTCCAGGCTATGTGAAAACCTCTAGCAAACGAGCTCTGGCCATCACGCCCCCCACTTCCCCCGCCCCAAAGGGCACACATGTCAGGGTAAGAGGGACTTTATTTAGCAAGTGTTTAGAAAGTGCTGAACTTTTTTTAAGCAGTAGAACTCCCTTTTTAAAAGCGATCTTGCCGCCAGGTGCAGTAGCTCATGCCTGTAATCCAGCACTCTGGGAGGCCGAGGCACGTGGATCACCTGAGGTCAGGAGTTTGAGACCAGCCTGACCAACATGGTGAAACCCGGTCTCTACTAAAAACACAAAAACTAGCCAGGTGTGGTGGCAGGCACCTGTGATCCCAGCTACTTGGGAGGCTCGGGCAGGAGAATCACTTGAACCCGAGAGGCGGAGGTTGCAGTGAGCTGAGATCACACCGCTGCACTCCAGCCTGGGTGAGAAATTGAGACTCTAACTCAAGAAAAAAAAAAAAAAAGCTATTTTACAGATATCCTCTTAAGACACAAACACAGACGCTCTGGTTGAAATGTGTGCATTTGAGGTTGGGGGTAGGGATGAAGTTCTAGCTATTCAGTCTTCTCTAACCCACTGTCAGAAACCCCATGGCTCCAAAGAACACATCAGAAAGACCACCTGCTAGAAGGCGACTCCATGAGGACAGGAATCTGGGTCTGTTTTATTCACTACTATGGTCCAGTGCTGAGAGCAGAGCCTGAGCTGGGCGCCGTGACTCAGCTTATAATCCCAGCACTTTGGGAGGCCTAGGTGGGTGGATCACTTGAGGTCTGGAGTTCGAGACCAGCATGGTCAACATGGTGAAGCTCCATCTCTACCAAAAATATTTTTTTAAAAAAGCCAGGTGTGGTGGTGCACACCTGTAATCCCAACTACTCAGGAGGCTGAGGCAGGAGAATGGCTTAAATCCAGAAGTTGGAGGTTCCAGTGAGCCAAGATCATGCCACTGCACTCCAGCCTGGGTGATAAGCAATAGGCATTCAATAACGACGTGAATGAATGTACTTCAACCCTCTCATTTTGCAAGCAAGGAAACTGCAGCCCAGAGAGGTTAAGTGACTTGCCTAAGGACACACAGCAAGGGGAACCCAACTTTCTCTCTGGCTCTCTCACACAGAGGCACTTCTTATTGAGCACAAGACAGTCCACCCTCCCCAAGCATGCAGATCACAGTGACCCATCCCCATGCCCCAAACCTCAGTGGCCTGAACACTCAGAGGGCTTCAGCTAGATGCTCACCCCACCAAGTACTCACTTGTCTTTGTGGCCTTGACCTTCGCCACCAGTTTCTGCACACCGGTCACATCTCCATTCTTGACAGCGAGGATCAGGTCCTGTTCACGACCCATCCTGGCTCCTGGTCTGAGCTCTGCGCTCAGGAGTCCAGGGCAAGGGTCCAAGCTGGGGCGTCAGAGCACCATGCCGCAGCTCCTTGGAGGGCTCCCAGTTCTGGGGGAGCAAGTCTGGTGTCCCAGGCAGCGGGCTCCTTGCCAGGTGCTGAGGGTCACTCCCAAAGGTACTCTGAACTGCCACCACAGGAAGGAAAGCCAATCTTTGTGGGGTGGAGGTTATGTGGAAATCTGGATGGATATCAGCTTGTGGCTTCCGACAGCTCCAGGATGGGCTGGGACCGGGCACACCAATCTTCCCGGCTTGGCTGGGGAACACCAGTGCCTACCCAGAAAGCAGCCAGCATTCCCTTGGGCCTCAGGCAGCACGGGTCCCAGGGGTCTGGAAAAGGGGCAGTGTCTCTGTTGAATGCTGGGCCACAGCCTGCAAGGGTTCCAGAAGCGGGGTGCATAGGATGAGCAGGACAGAACCTTAAGGAAGCCCTCTGGCTCCCCTGAGAGTTGATGGAGGAGCTGAGCCACTTGAAGTTCGGAGGAAGCTGCCATGCTTGAGAGGAGTATTGGTGGGGGGGAGGTGGCATTCTGGAAGGGGGAGGCTGAGTCACTGGGGCCCCAGGGCACCTGGCAGTACCTCAACCTTGGGCAGGAGGGGCCCTGGCAGCATGACATACTGGGGCAGGCCGGGCCAGCAGCCTGTTCTCCACAGCCCCAGGCTCCGACACCCACAGACAACTGGCGGGCCAGAAGGTGGGGCCGGGAGGGTCAGGCACAGGCACAGGCAGGCGGGCAGGGGTCACTCCCTGTCAAAGGCGCCAGCCCCCAGACTCCGCCCTACGGAGGAGTAATGGCTGGATGCCCTAGCCCTAGGGCTCTTTGTGAACGGAGGGCATGAAGTGCTTCTGGCCCCCCGTTTCTGGGGGCTCTGCCTGCTGGAGAGCGAAGCTCACAGCACCTGTTGCTGACCCGTCCTCGCCCCTTGTGTCGGGTGGAGGAGCAGCTGGGCAACGAAAACAGACAGAGCTCGGGCACGGCTGATAAACGGGCTCCCAAGCGCCCCAAGCCTGAACCTGAAGCCCAAACCCTGGACTCCACTGCAAAGAAGCTTACGTCAGTTTCTCGGTGGCAGCGCATTTGTTGCCAAAGTCTTGTGGCATGAGATCCTCGCAGGCCTGGGGCCCTAGCCGGGAACCCCTCACTCCCCAAATGTCCCAAGCCCAACCCAGGGGCACTCCCACTCGGGGCCCGTTGCCGTCGTAGGCGGAGGGCGCCCTTGGCAGTGCCTGGGGTCGGCCTGGTTCCCCCGCCCCCCGGAATGTCCCTCCAGCGCCGAGCAACCCCCCAGTCCAGCCCAGCCCAGCCCAGCCCAAGCCCACCCCGGGAACAAAGCGGCGGGAGAAGCCGGGCGGGCCAAGCCCCGAGGTATAAACGCGGAGGATGGAAAAAGGGGCGCGAGGAGGACGGAAGGAGCGGGGAGATGGAGGCGCCCGCCAATCCCGCAAGGAAAGTTAGTTTGCGCCCGCCCCCAGGGGCGCTGACCCCCAGCGCGGGCCTCACCTTTCCCGGCCGCCCGCCGGGGTCCGGCTGGCCCTGCTCGGTCCCTGGCACTCAGGACGGTGGCTCCCACTCCCCCCGCCCCCCTTTCTCCTTCTCCTTTTCCAAGGCCGGCTCGGCGCCTCCCGCAGGAAATCCCGCCCCTCCCCCCTCCCTCCAGCCGGATCGGGAGCGGAGGGACCGTCCCGGCCGCGCAGTCAGGCTGTCAGTCAGGGGCGGCGGCTCCGCCCCCATCCGTGCCAGGTCCCGCCCCCATTTTCGTCCACCCGCAGCGGGGGCGCTGACCGGATCAGCGCATGCGCCCAGGTAAAACGGAGAGGCCGGGGTGGTGAAGCGGTGGTGACCTGGGGCCCTGGAGTTAGACCCAAGGGCGAGACAACCCGGGTCTGACTGGTGGGAGAGAAGACGTAAGGTGAAGGGGGTTGGCAGCCAAGACGCGGGATCCCACTTACAGTACTCTCCGCCCGCCGCCGGTGTCGCCCACCCGTGGCCGCTGGCCGGGCAATGGCACCACCTAGCGGACGGCGCCGGAGCGGCCCGCGGGGGCGGCGCGGGGACCCCAGCCTCGAGGAGGCGCTCTTGCCGGGCGGAGGTGGCGCTTCAGCACCGTCTCGTGCCGGACAGCGCCTCCCACCCCTGCCCCTTAAAACCTGGCTTCGGAGCTCGGCCGGAGGGACCCAACAGAAGACCCCGAAGAAATGGCAAACCTCCCCGGACCGCTCCTGACAGTCCCCGGGTGTCCTTTGGTCTGCAAAGTCGGAATTTGCACACCCTTCGCTCGCCTTTCTCTGAGCTCTTCTGCCCTCCTTGCCCAGCCCGGACGGTGGGGACTAAGCAGCGAGGGGCTGGGCAGCGGCGGTAACACGTGTGACAATTCGTACTGCCCTCCTGGCCGCCGGCTCCTGAGGCTTTACTGGAGAGAAGCCCCAAGGAGGGCTGGGAAGAGGAGAGGGGGTTCCTGCACCTCCAGCAACCTGCGGGCTGAGCTCCGAGCCTCGGCGTCGGGGCGCGTGCCCCGGGCACTAGGACCCAGGACAGTCAGGAGGGCGCAGAGTGGGCGGGGAAAGGGGCGGGGCTGCCGCCGCGGCACGCATCGGCGGGCGCTAGGGCAGCGCGGAGCTCCGGTAGTGGGCGGGGCGTGGCGGCGCGCGCAGCGGCAGGCGGCGGCAGGATGGAGTCTGAGCGCGAGCCCCAACCCCAGCCGGCGGCAGTGGAGGTTCCTGCGGGACGCGTGCTCAGGTGCGGTGCGGCCCCGCCCGGCCAGAGGGGGATGTGGGCGGGGGGCGCTAGACCAGTGCGGGTGGGGAAACCAGCGCCCAGACCGGGCCGGGCGGCCCCCGATGCGTGGCGCTGATCCTGAGTCCCCTTTTCCCCCAGCGCCCGGGAGCTCTTCGCCTCCCGCTCGCGGTCGCAGAAGCTGCCCCAGCGCTCACATGGCCCCAAGGACTTTCTGCCCGACGGCTCGGCAGCCCAGGCCGAGCGGCTGCGCAGGTGCCGGGAGGATCTCTGGCAGCTGCTGGCTGAGCAGCGCGTAGAGCGCCTGTGAGAGGGGCGGGCCCGGGGCTGGGCGGAGCAGGGGCGGAGACTGGCCGCGGGGGCCTCCCGCGTGAACTGACGCGGACCCTTCCCCACTCCTCGCCAGGGGCAGCTTGGTGGCTGCCGAATGGAGGCCGGAAGAGGGCTTCGTGGAGTTGAAGTCTCCTGCGGTGAGCGGCGGGCTCCGAGCTCGGGGACCGCCTTCCCTGCCCTCCTCCTTCCCCTGTGACACTTGCTCTGGGCCCCACACAGGGCAAATTCTGGCAGACCATGGGCTTCTCAGAGCAGGGCCGGCAGCGGCTTCACCCGGAAGAGGCCTTGTATCTCCTGGAGTGTGTGAGTGGGGCCCGGGAGGTGGGGAAGGAGTTGGGATCGAAGAATGGGAAGGACACGTTTTATCGGAGAAAAAGCACACACAACCCGGTCTTTAGAGAACGGATAACCGAACCTTTAGAGCAGGAGGTAGTACTTTGCAGGGAACAGGGATTCCAGTCCAAAGTAGTGATGCTACTCTGCTTTTCTGGTTGGCCACATTCTTGATGTGCTGCTGGGAGGTGGAGGGGGAGGTTTCAGAGCTGGGAAGTTGCCTCACTACTCTGTGGCAATGCAGAGAGGGCTCATAAGCTGAGCGTTGGCCCTACTTCCAGGGCTCCATCCAGCTCTTCCACCAAGACCTGCCACTGTCTATCCAGGAAGCTTACCAGCTGCTGCTGACCGACGATACTGTTACCTTCCTGCAGTACCAGGTATCTGCCCCCATCCCGCCCCCAGGAGCCACCCATCCACTGAATCCGTGAGCATTGTCGAGTACCCATGAGGTGCCTGGCACACTGTCACATGCTGGGGCTGCAGGGCAGACGAGGGCTGTGCGGTCATGAGGCTTACATTGCAGTGACGGCCTGTTGGCTTCACATAGAACCCAGTGCTGGCAGAAGATAAGGTGGGGGAGGAGAATCGGAAGAGAATGGGCTGTTCATTCAGGTGAGAGAAGGTGAGGGGTTGTCCCAGGTTGGGGGTGGGTGGGGTTGCAGTGAGTGAAAAGTAGACGAATCTGAGAAATATTTTAGAGAAAGAATGGATAGGACTTTGCCAATGGATTACATGTCAGGATTAAGGAGAGAGAACCCAGGATTACCATCCATGATTTGGGCATGTGCAAGTGGGTGAAGGGTACCATCATATTCTGACTATGAAGAATGAAGAGGAGCAGATTTGGGAGGATGAGACTAGTCAAGGGAGCTCTATGTCGGATAAGTTAATTTTGAGGAGCTTCTTGGACATCCTAGTGAATGTCAAGCAGATGGACAATTGGAATCCAAGTCTGGAGCATGGGGAGAGGTCAAGGCTAGATGTCAATATGGGCGCCATGAGCACCTGGATGGTATTGGAACTACTGGACTGTATGAGAGTGCCGTCAGAGTCGAGGGCTGGGTCTGAGCCCTGGGGCTCTCTGAGTAGTTTAGGGAGCAGATAAGAGGCAGAAACAGACTGAGGGGTGTCTGGTGATACAGGAGAAAAACCAAAGTTGTGGCCAGGCACAGTGGCTCACACCTGTTATCCCAACACTTTGGGAGGCCAAAGCAGGCGGATCATGAGGTCAAGAGATCAAGACCATCCTGGCCAACGTGGTGAAACCCCATCTCTACTAAAAAGACAAAAATTAGCTGGGCATGGTGGCGTGAGCCTGTAATCCCAGCTACTCGGGAGTCTGAGGCAGGAGAATCTCTTAAACCCGGAGGGCAGAGGTTGCAGTGAGCCAAGATCGAGCCACTGTACTCCAGCCTGGGCAACAGAGCAAGACTCCGTCTCAAAAAAAAGGAAAACCAAAGCCACATCACAGAAAGGTCTTTCTTTTTTTTTTTTTTTTTTTTTTTTTGAGACGGAGTTTCATTCTTGTTACCCAGGCTGGAGTGCAATGGCGCGATCTCAGCTCACTGCAACTTCTGTCTCCTGGGTTCAAGCAATTCTTTTGCCTCAGCCTCCCGAGTAGCTGGGACTACAGGCATGTGCCACCATGCCCAGCTAATTTTGTATTTTAGTAGAGACGGGGTTTCACCATGTTGACCAGGATGGTCTCGATCTCTTGACCTCGTCTCGTGATCCACCCGTCTCGGCCTCCCAAAGTGCTGGGATTACAGGCGTGAGCCACCGCGCCCTGCCTGGGAAGGTCTTTCAAAGAGGAAGTGGTTAGCTATGCTGAAGGCTGCTGAGAGATCAGGCAGGATGGGGGACATTCTTGTGTACGTCCTTCTGATATGAATACAGGGACACCCCACCTGTATCTGTGGAGGTGTGGGGCTGGGGAGATGCCCACCACCTTCTGCCATCTTTTTGTTCCCATGGTGGTCAGCAGCTTCACTCTCGGGAGCTTTGGTATGAGAATACTCAAGTATTTCAGGGAGTGGTTGTTTTCTGGTTCCATGGCTGTCAGTTTTTTGGGATTTGCATTTAAGTCAAGAAATGGCTAAATGTCATTTGTGCCGAGTAAGGTAAGCGGGAAGACACAGGAATTCTGAGCCTGAGATCTTTGGGGGTGGTGTTCGTAATGGAGCATGCTCCAACCTTAGTTGCAGGGTGTGGAACCTGGGGGCGTACAGGAAGGGCAGGGAGGGCTTGGGGATGGCCTGTGTCTGGAGAAACCATTTGGTGTTTCCAGAAGTGGCCATCTGAGCTTCCTTTTTTTTCTTTTGAGGTCTTCAGCCACCTGAAGAGGTTGGGTTATGTGGTTCGACGATTTCAACCAAGGTAAATCCCCTTCCTGTTGCTCTTCCACATATTCTAGTCCAGGGACCTGGCTGACTGGTCTCTGGTAGAAAATGGCCTCTCCTTACCTGGAACTCTTGGCTGGAGTGCAGCTCCTTGGACGTGGACTGGGAGCCTCTGCTGGAAGCGTTCTGAGAGAGGCAGGTTGGGAGGAGTCCAGGTCATTGCACTTTATTCTGGGTTATGAAATCGAGCCCCATTTTCAGGTGACCCGTGCCTGCATCTGAGCGAGCACTGAGAGGCAGGGTTGGAACGGTGTCCGACACTTAGTACGTGCACAGGCAGATACGTAGAGTGTTTGCTTAAAAGAAGAACTGGGTGAGGAATTTATAGTTAGTAGGGTTTCACATTTTTATTTTTTTTGTTTATTTTTTTTTTTGAGACGGAGTTTCGCTCTTGTTACCCAGGCTGGAGTGCAATGGCGCAATCTCGGCTCACCGAAACCTCCGCCTCCCGGGTTCAGGCAATTCTCCTCCCCCAGCCTCCTGAGTCGCTGGGATTACAGGCATGTGCCACCATGCCCAGCTAATTTTTTGTATTTTTAGTAGAGACGGGGTTTCACCATGTTGGCCAGCATGGTCTCGATCTCTTGACCTCGTGATCCACCCGCCTCGGCCTCCCACAGTGCTGGGATTACAGGCTTGAGCCACCGCGCCCGGCCAGGGTTTCACATTTTTAATGCCAGGTTAAATGTTTTTTCTTTCATTAGCTTAGTAATTCAGCATTGCTAAGAGGCAGAGACCTTCAGACTTGGAATGGAAATGGGTACAGCTTTTGCAGTTACAGTATGACACAAAAGCTCTAAAGCAGGGACATCTTTTTTCTTCTTCTTTTTTTTTTTTTTTTGAGACTGAGTGTTGCTCTTTCACCCAGGCTAGAGTGCAGTGGTGCGATCTCGGCTCACTGCAACCTCCGCCTCCAGGTTTCAAGCAATTCTCCTGCCTCAGTCTCCCGAATAGCTGGGATTACAGGCGCCCGCCACCACGCCGGATGAGGTTTCACCATGTTGGCCAGGATGGTCTCGAACTCCTGACCTCGTGATCCGCCCGATTCAGCCTCCCAAAGTGCTGGAATTACAGGTGTGAGCCACCTTGCCCAGCCCATCTTTTTTCTTTTCTTTTCTTTCTTTTTTTTTTTTTTTTTTTGAGGTGGAGTCTCTCTCTGTCACCCAGGCTGAAGTGCAGTGGTGTGATCTCAGCTAACTGTAGCTTCTGCCTTCTGGGTTCAAGTGATTGTCCTGCCTCAGCCTCCCAAGTAATTGGGATTATAGGTGGATACCACCACGCACGGCTAATTTTTTTTTTAATTTTTAGTAGATATGGGGTTTCACCATGTTGACCAGGATGGTCTCAATCTCTTGACCTCGTGATCCACCTGCCTCGGCCTCCCAAAGTGCTGGGATTACAGGCGTGAGCCACCATGCTCAGGTTTATGTCTTTTCTTTTCTGAAAGTGGAATCAATCCTAAGGAAGTAATCATGGATGTGTACAGTGGTTCACCTGTGAGAATGATCAACCATATTTGTTGACTGTTGGCTGGGGGCCAGGCCCTGTACACATTGCTGAGAACAGAAGCGCAAAATCACTGCCCTCGGGGCCGGGCGCGGTGGCTCACGCCTGTAATCCCAGCACTTTGGGAGGCCGAGGCGGGTGGATCACGAGGTCAAGAGATTGAGACCATCCTGGTCAACATGGTGAAACCCCGTCTCTACTAAAAATACAAAAAATCAGCTGGGCATGGTGGCGCGTGCCTGTAATCCCAGCTACTCAGGAGGCTGAGGCAGGAGAATTGCCTGAACCCAGGAGGCGGAGGTTTCGGTGAGCTGAGATTGCACCATTGCACTCCAGCCTGGGTAACAAGAGTGAAACTCCGTCTCAAAAAAAAAAAAAATCACTGCCCTCACAGAGCTTGCGTTTAGTGAGGAGTCACACAGAACACCCTCACTGTGCAAGATCAGTGTACTTGCAAACAAGAGCTGAACAAGAGGCAGGCTCACACATATTAGAGGCGATCTCTTAGAGCAGCTCTGTCCAGTGGAACTTTCTGTAGTGATGAAAATGTTCTGTGTCTGTGTTGTCCAGTACGTGGGGCTAGAGCAACTATGGGACTGAGTGTTTTCATTTAATTTACATTTATCTAAATCGAACTTAAATAGGCCGGTCGTGGTGGCTCACACCTGTAATCCCAGCACTTTGGGAGGCTGAAGCGGGTAGATCACCTGAGCTCAGGAGTTCAAGACCAGCCTTGCAACATGGTGAAACCTCATCTCTACTAATATAAAAAAAAAAAAAAAATCAGCTGGGCGTGATGGCGGGTACCTGTAGTCCCAGCTACTCAGGAGGCCAAGGCATGAGAATTGCTTGAACCCAGGCAGCAGAGGTTGCAGTGAGCCAAGATAGTGCACTCCAGCCTGGGTGACAAAGTGAAACTCTGTCTCAAAAAAAAAAAAAAAAGAAAATTTAACTTAAGTAGCCACTTGTTGCTAGTGGCTCCTGTATTGAACATGATAACCTAAGAGCCTTAAAAATTCACAGCAGGGGCCGGGCGCAGTGGCTCACACCTGTAACCCCAGCACTTTGGGAGGCTGAGGCAGGCAGATCACTAGGTCAAGAGATGGAGACCATCTTGGCCAACATGGTGAAACCCCGTCTCTACTAAAAATACAAAAATTAGCTGAGTGTGATGGCAGACACCTGTAGTCCCAGCCACTTGGGAGGCTGAGGAAGGAGAATTGCTTGAACCTGGGAAGGGGAGGTTGCAGTGAGCCAAGATCACGCCACTACACTCCAGCCTGGCGACATAGCAAGATCCCATCTCAAAACAAAATTCACAGCAGGGAAGAATGCTGCAGAGACAGGGGGCTGTGTCCATAATATATTACTGAGTGAAAAAAAGATCACAAAACAGTATGTTAGTACAATGCCATTTTTGTTAGAAAAAAATATGGAGATTGAGTCTCACACAGAAAAAAAATTTATATATATATATGGAGAGAGATTAGTCAATGTGTACGTAAAAGAAAAAAGTGTTAATAGCAGTTATCTAAGGTTTTTATTTTTCTGTATTTTCCAAGTTTGCCAGCTCCTGTGGGCCATTGCCTAGGCAGAGGCACGTGGCTGGGCCTGTACCCCTCCTGCAGGTCTGGGGCCTTAGCCCTTGGGTATGGCTCCGATCCTGGCCCACCAACTGTCCCCTTGAACCCGTTTCCTCACGTATCACACCGGATCCCAAGGCTGAGGAGGTGGGTCAGTGGCCCACATGCTCTTCTCACCCCACAGCTCTGTCCTGTTCTCGTATGAGAGGCAGCTTAACTTGGATGGCAGCATGCAGCACTTGGAGGACGGAGATGGCAAAAGAAAGAGGAGCAGCTCCAGCCCTTGGTAAAGCCCACATCAGGGGCACGCCCCAGGGAGTGCTGGTGTCTGGGACCTTGGAAAATGCACAGGCTTTTCTAAGAACTAGGCTTGAGCAGCTCCCACACAGGCTCAGGAAGACACTAGGGGACCTGTCTTCAGCTCCCATGGGACGTGTGCACCTTAGCACCCGGGGCAGATGTGTTGCTTTTCCCCCACGTCCCTCAGGTCCATTAATAAGAAGGCCAAGGCCCTGGAGAACTCCCTGCAACCTGAGAGTCTGGCAGCCTCCAGCCCACCTCCCTCCAGCCAGCCCAGCCAATGCCCAGAGGAGAAACCCCAGGAGCCAAGCCCCATGAAGGGCCCAGGGGGCCCCTTTCAGCTTTTGGGGTCCCTGGGGCCCAGCCCTGGCCTGGCCAGGGAGGGGGTGGGGTGCAGCTGGGAGAATGGCAGAGCTGAGAAAGGAGTCACAGGGGCTGGCAAGCCACGCTGGAACTTCGAGCAGATCTCCTTCCCCAACATGGCTTCAGATAGCCGCCACACCCTCCTATGTGCCCCAGCCCCAGAGCTGCTCCCAGCCAATGTGGCTGGGCGGGAGACAGATGCAGAGTCCTGGTGCCAGAAGCTGAACCAGCGCAAGGAGAAGCTCTCCAGATGGGAAAGGGAGCACCACGTGGAGGCCGCGCGCTTCCGGGAGGATGTCAATGCTGATCCCGAGGTGCAGCGCTGCTCTAGCTGGCGAGAATACAAGGAGCTGTTGCAGCGACGGCAGCTGCAGAGGGGCCAGAGCCAGGCCCCTCACCTGTGGGGCCAGCCCGTCACCCCCCTGCTGAGTCCAGGCCAGGCCAACTCCCCAGGTACCCCCTGAGCCTGCCACATCAAGGGCCACTGGCAGCTGATGAATCACAGGACTTTGGAAGGGGCACAGATGAACCAGGACAGATTGAGGCTTAAGAAAGATGTGGGAGGAGGGAGTGGACCCACAAGGGAGGTCCGTTCTCCCAGGGAGCAGCAGGGCCTGTGTGGGAAAGCTTAGAGATGGTGAGTCAGGAGAGGTAAGGAGGGGTGGAAACTGACCATATCCTAAAAATCATAACATGCATGTGGATGGCTTTGCCAACATCTAGCTGTGATCCTAACCAGTTAGATGGAAAAAGGAGGTGCCTTCTTGACCAAGTGAAAGAAAGGCTTGCTGTCTGCTCTAAGCACAGGGAACCAATGGGGAAAGAATAGCTAATGTATTAATGGATTCCAAACTACTTAAAGCTTTCATGGGAACATGGTAGATTGTAGATAACTAGATAGGATTGCCAGATCAGTTCAATTTGACTTTCAGATAAACAACTAATTTTTTAGGATAAGTATGTTCCAAAACTTGCATGGGCTATGCTTGTACTAAAAAAATGTTGCTAGGCTCATATCTGTAATTCCAGCACTTTGGGAGGCCAAGGTGGGGAGATCACCTGAGGTTAGGAGTTCGAGACCAACCTGACCAACATGGTGACATCCTGTCTCTACTAAAAGTACAAAAATTAGCCGGGCATGGTTGTACACACCTGTAATCCCAGCTACTTGGGAGGCTGAGGCTGAGGCAGGAGAATTGCTTGAACTTGGGAGGCAGAGGTCGCAGTGAGCTGAGATCACAGCTCTGCAAGACTCCACCTCAAAAAAAAAAAAAAAAAGTTGCTAAATCTGGCAGTCCTAAACTAGATGGTAGACTGAGAAGTGTGACTCCCTCCCCAGTACCTTGTTTTCTCTGTCCTTGTAGCCATGGTCCTTCAGCATATCTCTGTGCTGCAGACCACACACCTTGCTGATGGAGGTGCCTGGTAAGTTTCCAAGCAGTGACGTCTCCACAGTATCTTGGCCACCAGGAGTTGGTGGTTAGGATTTGGCTCCTGAAATAGGGTGTGAGCTAGAGGACTGTTCTAGGGACCTCTACCCCCACGCCTAGCTCTGAGCCATAACTAACGTTCATGTGTGTCTAGGGAAGAGGGAGAAACAACCAGTGGGTTAGCGCAAGGGTTCAGAGCCCCCCACCCTCAAGTGGCACCTCCGTGAGGCTGCTTCTAGGAACTAGTGGTGGGAAAGGGTGGGGTGGAAAAGAAAGGTTGGGAAGAAGAGTTCATGTCCTAACGTTTCTCACTGTATCGTCAGGCTGCCGGAGAAGTCTGGGGGCTTGGAAATCAGCTTTGATGTTTACCAGGCCGACGCTGTGGCCACATTCCGAAAGAATAACCCTGGCAAACCCTATGCCCGGATGTGCATTAGTGGGTATGCAGTGAGCCAGCATTGCCCCTCCCCCAGCTGGTGCCAGTTCTCCTGTGAACCCAGTGGGACTCCTCTGCACTCCCCTGGCCAGTGTGCCAATCTCTGAGAGGAACCTGAGGTCCAGAGAGGCTAAGCAACCCACACAAGGCCACACAGCCAGTTTGTGCTGCCCTCCTCTGAGCGTCTCATTGCTGGCATTTTAGGGTAGTCTCTCACCAGTGCAATTTTAGTCTAGGGCTCACCCAGCAGAAGGGCTGTGGATTGGGGGGATTTACAGGCTGAGAGTGGTGGGCACCTCCCCAACCAGGGTTCTGGGGCTTTCTTCATCAGAGCCCTGTGTTTTGCAGACAGAAGAGATCCTGGGCCAGAATTCTTGCACCCCAGCTCCTGCCTTAGAATCTCCCTTCTCTGAGAGCCATAGAGCTTAGCGGGCTATGGCTGGGTCTCTAACCTCTCTAACCCTTTGTCCCTGCAGATTTGATGAGCCTGTCCCAGACCTCTGCAGCCTCAAGCGGTTGTCTTACCAGAGTGGGGATGTCCCTCTGATCTTTGCCCTGGTGGATCATGGTGACATCTCCTTCTACAGCTTCAGGGACTTCACGTTGCCCCAGGATGTGGAGCACTGACCTCACAGCTCTGCAGGGGATGGAGCTTGCTCCAGGGGACTGGGACTGGTTGTTCTCAGGGACCATCTCGGCTGCCTCCTGTACCCAGACTCTAACCTGTAGCTTCAGGGGCCAGTCTGGGCCTTGGCCCTGGGCGTCTAATACAAAGAGTGAAACTGACCCTCTCCCCTTGTCTGCTGCCTTGCAGTGACCACCCTGGAACTCAGGAGTAGATTTTAAGGACCCAGGAGGTGGGGCAGAAGAGAGGACTCTGTGCCTTTAACGTGAGGGTGCCTGCTTCCGTGCCATAAAGCCAAAGCCATTAAAAATAAATCTCTTTTCTGCTGTTTCTGTATGTACTAGGTAAACCCCTCTGGCCCCAGCCCCTCACCCCTGCTTTATCCACTCCAGGAGATGCGCTTCCTCCGGTGTGGGATCTAAGAGTGAGGGAAGCCCGCGGGAAGGCAGGAACGCGACCTTGAACCTTTTGAGCCTTTCTCAGGCCTGCGGCGGAGGGGATGGGACATCACAGGGCTCCTGGAGGGAGGGCGCGCCCACTGTCCTTCCCTGGGCGCAGCGGGGTGCGGGTGGCGAGAGGCGCCGCCTGCAGCTGGGCGGTGGAGCCCGCTGCAGCCCGGGCCTCCGCGCCCTTTGAGCTCCCGCCTCGTCGCTCCAACGCCCTCCCTCGCTTGTGCTAAAAACTCCAGCCGCTGTTGCAGACCCTCGGGCCGACTCGGAGGCGGTGGGGCCCCCGCCCCCGAAGAAAGGCCTCTCGTCTAGACGTCCCGGTTACCACACCACCCCTGTCGTGGGGCTGGAAACCCAATCCTTCGTCCCCCAGTCACCCTCTCTGGGCTGGGCGCCCGCAGAGGAGCTGGCCCAGCTCCGCCCTTCCCTCGGCAGCTCCGGGGAGTTGGAGGGACGGCTCCTCCGGAGTCTGGGGGGCGGCCCGGGGCCGCGGGGGTTCCGGGAACTATTTCCGCCTGCGGGAGGCGGCGGAACTCTGGGCGCAGCGCGTGATCCTGCGTCCAGGTGCGTGCAGGTGAGGCCGGGGCGGGCCCGCGGAGCCCCGAGCCTGTTCGCTAGGCCCCGCCTCGCGCTCCCCCGGACCTCGGATTGGCTGGAGCGCGGTCCCCGCCCCCGAGGGCGCCCCCGCCCCGTCGGCGTCGAGCTGGGAGGCGGGGCCCGGCCGGGGGCGGGGCCCTGGGGCCCGGCCGGCTCGCCCTTCATTTACATAGTGCAGCTCCGCCCCGGGCTCGCCGTGCCGGAGGTGAGCAGGAAGGAGACGGCCGCCCAGCAGCCGGTGGGCCGGCGCGGCAGAGCGAGCGGGGCCGGTGGCGGGCGCCGAGGGACGCCGAGGCCTCGGGCGGGGTCCGGGCCGGGGTTCCAGGTGAGGTGCGCTCCGGCCTCGCCCAGCCGGTCCCGCCCCCTTGGGGCGCCCACCCGGGGCGGGGAGGCCGGGGAGGGCCGGGACCCCTGGGCCGCCCGGCCAGGGCGGGAGGGCTGCGCTCAGGTCCACGCGCCTCGCCCCTGTCCGCGTCGCTGGGCTGGCCTGGGAGAAACACCTGTGGAAAGTTCTGCGGGGAACTTCTCTCTGCCTGATCCGCCTGATGACTGAAACTTGGGCTTGGGTTTGCACAACACTGTTGGCTTAGGGGAGCCGGGGAACAGGTGCCCGGCACGGCTGGGTTCTGGGGGCACCGCGGGCGGAGATGGAGTCGCCGGGCCCACATGCAGGCACGAGGCCAGCGAGGCCGGCGACCACACATCTGCGGTGACCCCCTCCCCACGGGCGGCGGCCGGAGCACTGTGCCCCGGCGGCTTAGCCCCTGCCCCTGCCATCTGGGCTGTGTCCCTGCCGGCCCTTTGTGCCTCCTAATCCCCGGACGCAGGAAGCCCGCGGGAGGGACTTCGGTCTCGGGCCTTTCTCCAACGGGGGTGGCTTTGGACACCCTCACACGACGGTCCGGAGACCCAGTCTGCCCTCCATGCTGACGGGTGGGGTTTGCGCTGTGGGATTTGGCGAGAAGTGGAAAATTCTGTCTTGCCAAAGAAAGTGTGTCTTAGTTTGCTCCGGCTAGACGATTGGTGGACACACTGGGCCTTGGCTGTGGGGAGAACTGACCATAACCAGGGGAGCTGCAGAGTGGCCCTTTGAGGTCTCACCTGAACAGGTGAGCTTTGAGTGAGGAGGGCGCCCCTTCCCCTGGGGATCCGTAGGCGGCTGCTGAAGGCCTTAACCTGGGCTCCAGGGACCCCATGCAGGAGTTTGTAACTCAAGGGGCCGCAGAGGGGATTCTGAGCAGGGAAGAATGGGTGTGCCAAGGTGACAAGGAAACTGGTAGGAAGAGCAGAGCTGCCACGGAAGAGCTGTGGCCCAACCCCGGGGAAGCCAAGGTTAGAAGTGGCATTTGAGGCTGGGCGCAGTGGCTCACAGCTGTAATCCCAGCAATTTGGGAAGCCGAGGCCAGGAGGATCACCTGAGCCCAAGAGTTTGAGACTAGCCTGGGCAACATAGTACGACCTCGTCTCTATAATAACAAAAGTTAGCCAGGCTTGGTGGTGCGCACCTGAGGTTTCAGTTACTCAGGAGCCTGAGGTGGGAGAACTGCCTGAGCCCAGGAGGTGGAGGTTGCAGTGAGTCTTGATGGCGCCACCATACTCCAGCCTGGGGACCCTGTCTCTCTCTCTCTCTCTTACACACACACATGTAAAGTGGCATTTGAGGAACACTGTCTGGGTCTGTGTGAGCAGAGACACTAGGAGAATTGTGGGAGAGATGTCTCAACTTTTTTATTTTATGAACTGGGATTTGGGGTTTAGTTTTCTTAGGTGATCTTCCCACAGTGCTAGCTGTGGCAGTCAGGACTCAAACTCAGCTCCTGGGCTTCTAATCAGAGTTTACTCCTTTACTCTGATGTTAGACTGGGCCTGTTTTTGTGGGGGCCCCTGGACAGGGTTTCAGTGCTCCAGAGTCATTCAGCATCCCCATTCTTCCTTGAGGCAATGCAGTTTCCCCTTTGGTGTCAGATTAATATACTTTTAATTATATTAAAATGACACTACATTCATAAAAATAAAATAGAAAACAAGTAATTTTTTTCTTTCTTTTTTTTAAACTAAGTTGGCCAAACTTTTTTTTCTTTTTAATAATATATTTTTAAATTTATAGAGATGGGATCTCACTATGTTGCCTAGGCTGGTCTCAAACTCCTGGACTTAAGTGATCATCCCATTTCAGCCTCCGAAGTGTCGGGATTACAGGCATGAGCCACTGTGCCCAGCTGTTAGTAACTTTTTTCTTCTTTTTTTGAGACAGGGTCTTGCTCTGTCACTCAGGCTGGAGTTCAGTGGTGCAATCACTGGGAGATGGAGGCTCAGTGTAGCCTCGACCTCCTGGGCTCAAGTAATCCTCCCACCTCAGCCTTCCTACTAGCTGGGACTACAAGCAGGCAGCACCCCGCACAGCTGATTTTTGTATTTTTTGTAGAAAGGGAGTTTTGCCATGTTGCCCTGGCTAGTCTCGAACTCCTAGGCTCAAGCGATCCTCCTGCCTCCCAAAGTATTGGGATTATAGATGTGAACCCCCATGCCGGGCCTGTTAGTATAAATAACTTTAAAATATGCCACAATATTAAAAAAAAAAAAAAACAAAAAAAAAAAACCAAGTTCATAATCTCAGGTGATCGCTGTTTAAAGATAGAAAAGGCAATAGAAGCCCACAGTGGGAAAGAGGAAACATTATAGAAAGTGTAAAGTTAGAGCAAAAAATTGTCCCTCCTGCCAGACAGTCCTTTTCTTCTTCTTTTTTGCTTTTGAGAGGAAGTCTCCTTTGTCACCCAGGCTGGAGTGCAGTGGCGCGATCTCGGCTCACTACAGCCTCCGCCTCCCAGGTTCAAGCAATTCTTCTGCCTCAGCCTCCCAAGTAGTTGGGATTACAGGCAGGCATCACCACGCCCGGCTAGTTTTGGTATTTGTAGTAGAGACTGGGTTTCACTATATTGGCCAAGCTGGTCTGGAACTCCTGACTTCAGGTGATCTGTCTGCCTCGGCCTCCTAAAGAGCAGGGATTGCAGTGAGCCACCACGCCTGGCCCCTGACAGTCCTTTATCTTCATCTTTCATCTTTCTATCCTTCATCTCTCTAAAAACAAAAAATTTTTTTAAAATTAAAAATAAAAAGGGTGCGGTGGCTCACGCCTGTAATCCCAGCACTTTGGAAGGCTGAGGCTGGTGGATCATGAGGTCAAGAGATCAAAACCATCCTGGCCAACATGGTGAAACCCATTAGCCGGACGTGGTGGCACCTGCCTGTAATCCCAGATACTTGGGAGGCTGAGGCAAGAGAATTGCCTAAACCCAGGAGGCGGAGGTTTCGGTGAGCCGAGAATGCGCCATTGCACTCCAGCCTGGGCAACAAGAGCAAAACTCTGTCTCAAAAAAAAAAAAAAAAAAGATTTTTAGTGTCTTTCCAGGCATCAGGTGTAGTTTTGACTTATTCCTTGCTGAGTTCTTGCTGTGTGACCTTAGTGTGGTCACTGGCCCATGCTGAGCTTTAATGAGATGCGAGTATGAGAAAGGTCACCAGCACGTGCAGTCTGCCACACAGCAGGTGCCCAGTGAGGGAGGACCCAGCTTCCATGAAGCATCGGTCACTCTGGGGCCTTTGGGTGGGCACTTGGGCTTATTGGAAATGCCTGATGGGTCCAGAGAATTTGTCTTTTCCGGAAATCAGCTGACAGCTCATGAATTTGTGGTATTTTAAAGTCTCTGGCTGGGCGTTTTGGCTATGCCTGTAATTCCAGTGCTTTGGGAGGTTGAGGAGTGGGGATTGCTTGAGCCCAGGAGTTCAAGACCAGCCTAGGCAACGGTGAGATCGCGCCTCTACAAAATTTTTTTTTTTTTAATTAGCTGAGCATAGTGGTGTGCACCTGTTGTCCCAGCTACATGGGAGGCTTAAGCAGGAGGATCGCTTGAGCCCAAGAGTTTAAGGCTGCAGTGAACTATGATGGCACCACTATACTCCAACCTGGGTAACAGTGAGACCCCCTAACAAAAAAAAGAAAAAGTCTCTGAGGGTCAGAAGTTTTTCATCGAAGACCCTTTTCAGGAGTTGGGGGCAGCAGTGGAGGGCGTGGCCTTTCCTTAACTGACCTTGCGTTTCAGTGGCCCTTGGTGCTTCCCTTACTCCTTGGGAGGGCCAGGAGTCAGAGCTTATTGCCTAGGACTCTTTCGTGGGGTGGGGATATCGGAGAGTGCAGGACTGAACCTGTTCTGCCTTCTGTACCAGCTGGGGAGTGCTTGCTGGGTACACGCTTCTCACCCTGCTGGGCGGCAGGGCAGAGAGTACAGGCCT